ACAGCCTCACAGACACACTCTACTGCCAGTAGTGTAGACACAGCCTCACAGACACACTCTACTGCCAGCAGTGTAAACACAGCCTCACAGACACACTCTACTGCCAGTAGTGTAGACACAGCCTCACAGACACACTCTCCTGCCAGTAGTGTAGACACAGCCTCACTCCATCTTTTGCTAGGAGTATTTACACAGCTCTTGCAGGGACCTGCTGATCCACTTCTGCACTCTCCCAATGCCTGATAAAGCCATAATGCCTTACTAGCAACTTATCTTTAAAACATTTTAGGAGCTGGGGATGTGGAGGAGTTGTTCAAGACTTGTGGGAAGTAACTTAACTCAGTTACACCTGGATTTTTACACTTTTAGAATTTTTGGAACTTTATTATTTCTAGTCATGTCATATGTGTTTTCATGCTTTTGTATTTTAATTGTTTAAAACGTATTTCCTTTAGCATTAACTAAGCCCATTAAGCACACACCTATCTGTGTGCTTAGGGTACTGTTTTACTGTTTTAAACTCCCATTAATGCTTGTACAACTGAGTCTCTAACAAAATCACTCCATGCAGTGTAATCACCATTATTATACTGTTCTGAACAAATTTATTTATGTTTTTATTAAGAATAAAGTTTTTTCAATGTGTGGTTCATTGTTTGAGATTTGTTGAGCAGGGCATAAAAACTTTCCCCTGCTCTCGTTGCCGGTGAACACCGTCTTCCCAAAATGCACTTTTACTATGAACTAATTCGTTCTGCTCTGACCCCTGACCCTGAATCTATATGATTTCTTTACAGTTTTATTGAACATTACATAATACAAAGGAGAAACGGTATCCAATAAGATAAAGTGAACAGAGATAATAACAAATCTGAACAAAATAAGATACATTTTTACCTACATCTGGTGCGTTTTTGGTGAAGTTCAAGTAATATTGCGTTTCCACCTTATAAACATTAAAGGAGGGAGCAGCATTAGACAGTTCAGTGAAAAAGACGCCAAACCAGCGACGGAGAAGAAACAGCAACTTAGACGTGCGCGTTTGTTCTACTTGAACAAACAGTTTCATTGCGTTTGTTTTACTTAAACACAACCCTTCACGTTTCCTCAAACGTTCTTTCGAAAAGACGAGCTTTCAGCAGCAACACCGGTGTCAAGGTGAGGCAGACTGCGGACGGCCTGCCGCCGGACCCCGCAGGAGCGCTCCGAGAACCGGGCTCTGCCTGCCAGCTGCACGCCGGGCGCCCTGTTGCATCAGCTCGGCGCTCCCCTAGTGGAGTCTGCGCAGCCGGCGGCGCTGCCCGCGAGAGGCCCACGTCAGTGCACGAGCCCCGGCCGGCCAATCAGAGGCGGCCACACTGTGTTTTGAAGATTCCTCCCCCCGGAGATAAACCTGCCGGAACAGCCCGCACACCTCCAGTCAGAGCTGAGCGGCACTGCGCTTCACTGTTTGACAGCTAACTCCGAGGTGGGGGGAGGGAGATAGGAAAGAAAGTTCTATTGTTTTGTCCGCTGACGGTTGCGAGGCTCGTCCTTTACGGAGTGTATTCGGGGTAACGTCCTTCTCTCGCACGCCGAAGACCGAGGACAGGGATGGACGGACCGTCTCCGCCACAGGAGACCCTGACCCTGATCGTCAAGACGCCGAACCAAGCCCACGGAGACCGGGCCGTGGAGGGAGTGCAGCCCAGCTGGACGGTCGGGCAGCTGAAGTCGCACCTGTCAGGAGTGTACCCGGGCAGCCCGGTGAGTGTCCAGCCTGCTTTCGTGTTTGTCCGGACTCTGCTCTGCCGGCGTCACTGCCCGGAAGCGCCACATGATAGGAAACACTGCTTAATACGACATGATCCTAGAGACCTACCGCGAGTTTTCGACTCCTTTCCCGTCCTATAGCCGTGAGTTTTATTATACGGTATTGAAGTTGTTCGGAGCACTTGAAGCGCTGCCTGTCTCTTTCTCCCCGGTGTGGTCGGGTCGCAGTTAGCGGAGTCTTACCCGGGTTCAGTGGCTCAGTTTGCCCTGGTAGGGCACGGTTTAAGTCTTCTGCGTGCGCTCCTAGCTGTGCAATGAGCGAACCCTGAGCGTTGAATAAGAGCGATATTCTGTACGTTTTTTTCCGGAAGTGGGTTTACCCATCTTGAACATCAACAAGCACCCGGGGCGCCTCTTCGGTATCGGTGTAAATCAGGAATAAGAGCAGGAAGACCTCGACAGGTGTTTCCCCGCGCTGTGACTCCTGCAGGTGTCTTGTCCTTCCTGTCCGCTCTGTTGCTGTTTCTCAGTTCTCTGTTTCACCTGATTCTCGCCCCGCAGCCTGAGAAAGACCAGCGGCTCATCTACTCCGGGAAACTGCTGCCAGACCACCTGCTCTTGAGAGACGTCTTCCGGAAGGTAAACATGAACGTGATGTTATCAGTGCTGTTTCCTGTTGCGTCTTAGCACACCCCACCAACTGTATCATCTTAAACCTGCTATCTAATTGAATTACAACGTCTTGTTCTTAAACCCCTCCTACTATCTGTATAATACTTTACATGCAGAGTGGGGCCCAGTTCATCCACCAGCTGGGTGACGCACAGCAAATCAGTTGTAGCAGCAGAGAAGGGATTTAACAGATTGTGGAAAGTACCTCAAACCTCCATTTGTTGTGTGTTATACACTGGGCTCAGGTGACTGGAGATCAGTGTCTGGTGCTCATACAGTTTTCTGATCCACTTCATCTTGCGCCTGAGCTGTTTGTGCTCCAGTATTCCTCTCCGAGCAGAACTAAACTCTGATTTCTTCTCTTTACAGTCAGACACCACACCAACCCTTCACTTAGTCTGTGCCTTCAAGCCTCCGGGCTCACAACACGGATCCCAGCCTAAGGTATGCAAGTCATGCTGTAGTTGGAGACTCGTACCAGTCAGCAGCCCTCAGGAATGGAGATCGAGGCTGCTTTGCTGCTTTCTGTGGCTCCGTGCTTCATGGGCGCTTAAGTAGTGTTGAACAGGGGCACAATGTCTGAAGAGCACTGTTCACAAAATGCAGAACTGAAACAGATTCTTCTGGACTAGCCCTTCCGTTGCTATTAAAGGGAAACTGCATTCCCAGTTTCTCAGACCAATTATTAAGTCTCGGTAACAAAACAAAAAAATTGATGGTATTGGAAAAATTTACAAATTCTCAATTAAACACAAAATCGAGAACTTTGTGGAAGTACTGGATAATCGCCATGGGCCCTTCCTGCTCACTAGTCACTGTAATGACTCCTGTAATATGAAGTTTACAAGTAGTATTTGTCTGCAAAATTATCTGGAAGTCGAGAACACTATTTCTGTTGGATTAAAAGAGATGTATTCACTTTTACAGGATTCCAGAAAGAACAGCGCTTTAAAACCTCTACTGTTGCAGAATGAAAGAGAATTAGGACAGTGATGTTTGCATGATAAAATGTCATAATCATAGCCTTGTGCTTGATTTGATCAGTTCTGTTGATTTTGCTGATACAGTTCGAAAGGAAACCCTGGACTCTTCAGCAGGGAGTGCACTAGTGAAGTGTAAGGTTTCACGTATTGAAACTGGGGAGGTTTAGCCCTGTTCTGCATCATCTCCCCAGCAACCAGGTGCAGCCCTTGCAGCCTGTTCCCAAGGCTGCGGGCGGATATTTTACATTCTTTTTGAAACGACCTGTTCTAATTTCAGAATGCACGAGTTTCACATCTTTTTTTGTTGTTGTTCTTGCCATGAGCTCTTGTTGTGCTAACGAGCGTCGTCGCTCTGTCTGTGGTCTAGGCTGCGGGAGCCGAGGCGTGTGTGCAGTCTGTGCCCCGTGCGGCTGGCCAGGCCGCGGGCGCAGCTCCTCCTGGGCCCAGCGGAGACGGATTACGGCACAGAGGGAGTGCTGGAGGCGTGCCTTCTGCCTGGACAAGCCCTGCAATGTGAGTGCGTCCCCTCAGCAAGGGTCCACCACAGCGCATGTGGGATCCTGAAGGAAACTGTCTGCTGTTCGGTCCACATAATCAACTTTAGGCCTTATTCGTGACTTAAAGCATGGCTGAGGGTCAAGGCCGTTGCTTTCCTCCTGATGTGAGCAAGAAGTGTAAAATTGCTCCCTGATGCCACAGGATCAATTGTGCTTTCGTACCAGCCGTGAATGAATTCCTCCCTTGTTGAGCTCAGGGCTGTGTGCGTCGCTGTACCGCTGCCCCGTGTGCCCAGATGTCCTGTGCTGTCTGCAGTGGTGTGTGAAAGGAGCTGGGTGGTTGTGCCAGGTAGTGCTGTCCAGCTGAGGTTGCTGTCTGTCTTTTCTCCAGGCTGGGGGGAGCGGATGTGCGTCGTCCTGCGTACTCGGTGTACAGCCCTCAGCAGCTCCTCTGGCTGCAGCAGATGTATGTCAGGCAGTACTACATGCAATAGTAAGTACAGCTCTGCCTGGCGGGGCTTTGTGCCCTGAGCTATTGCTGTTGAGATACTTTTGTGGGTGGAGTGTTCTTGGTGTTTTATACGGAATGGATTTGTTTCATTCTCCATAATGCTCGTGCTTCCTGAGATGCATTTCCTTCGGATGGCTGAATAAGATTCCAAAGTGGAAGGCAGACTGTAAAAACTGAGGAATGAACTGTTTTTGAAGAACTGGCTTTGTGTACTTCAGAATCGGCCGGGAACGTAGCTCCTCCAGAGACTGTGTATGGGGACGTACATGAATAGCTGCTAGGTGGTCAAATTTAAATCCTTTGCTGGCGTCCTCTGTCTCCCCCTGACGCTTGTCGTCTTCGTGTTGAATTGCAGTCAGGCGGCTCTGGCTGCTGCCTCCTCCCATGTGGCCCCCAGTGGCCCCTCCCTGCCTGTCGTCACGCCGGCTCCTGTACCCCTGGCTAATCAGGCCCCCGCTGACAACCTCCCAGCCAATCAGAACGCTCCGCAGCCCCCGCTCATCAACCCGGGAGCCAATCGGAACCTGCGGATGAACGCCCAGGGCGGCCCGGTGATGGAGGACGAGGAGGACGTGAACCGTGACTGGCTGGACTGGGTGTACACCGCTGCCCGTTTCTCGGTCTTTCTCAGTATCCTGTACTTCTACTCCAGCGTGAGCCGCTTCGTGCTGGTGATGAGCAGCCTGCTGATCATGTACCTGTGAGTACTGGTGGGGTTTCACGTGGTCTTCCCTGCGTGGGTACACAAGACTGAACAAGGTCATGTTTCAGACGGGGTCCTGCTGTGGACACTGGCACTGGAGCCAGCCCCCAGAAAGGCTGTGCTGTCTTGGTATCGCCCAGCCCTTCCCTGCTGCACATCTGGTGCTCTAAGACGGGAGCTCTCTGCTTGGCTGGGTTTGGGCAAAGGGAACAGAGCCTTCTTGCAAATATTGGCGTGATCTGGCGACTGGAAGTCTTGGGGAGGACGCAACATGTGAAATTATTTTTTAAAACGATTCAGGCTGAAATGACCAGTTTGCCAGAGCTGTGCAGGATGTTTGTGTAGGACTGGGTCTGTTTATGTTTGCAATTTAGAGTTCTATAGATTTCAAAGATTAGATCTTGTATAATTGTTCATCAGAGTGAGTGATTGGATCCCCTTTCAGTTAAACTCCCTGTTTGTGATTTGTCTTTCTATTATTTTCGCTGATGGAGAAGTATAACAAGTTACACAAACCCAACACCTTGTTGTTGTGCCTGCTGTCCTCCCCAGGCAGTGGTAGTGTGTGGTATGTGAAGCAGTGCTCATCATGGCTCAATGTCTGGAAAAAGTTTCCCAGTGGTTTTGGCTGGCACAGGGTATCCAGTGTGTCGGACTGCAGAGGTCAAAGTGCAGGCAGGAGTGCTTCTCCTGTGCCTGATCTCAACCAAGGCAATACACTGTGCCTTGGCTGTGCTCTCGGCCATATGAACCAAGCTGTCCTGACCACAGTGACCTTCTCCGTTTCGATCAATATTTACCGTGTGTGTGTTTCACACAGGAGTTGATTAGGCCTGCGAGGCAGAGCTTTTTTTACTTCTGCTTAAGTACTTTACAACTGTTATCAACATGTAGATCAAGGCCATGTGCCAATGGGACAAGCCTTATTAGTGTAAATATGCGCACAGAGGACTTCTGGGAAATGTCATGGCTGGAAGAGGGAACACACAATCAGCTGATTGCGTGCCTCAAGTCCTGTCAAAGTATACATTACTCACTGCTTACTTTTCACGGTCACTGCTGAGGGATTCTATTCTTTGTAGCACAATGTTTTTTTTTTTTTACTTCTCTGGGTGTGGTTTTCTAAAATAGGCCAGTTAGTCCCTCGAGACCCGATCTGATTGTCACAGCCCGGTGAAGTGTGATCCTCTCTCCTTCCCTCTCAGGCACACAGCAGGCTGGTTTCCCTTCAGAAGGAGAGCTGTGCATCTGGACCCGAACCATGCCCAGCCTGCTGAGGCCGTTGAGAACCAGCAGAACCGGAACGCAGGAAGGCCACCGGTAAGTCTGTCTGTACTGCCGCTGACTGCGTGCTAAAGTGGTACCTGTAGCGTCTGTTGTCGGACGCTAGATTCGGAACCGGTGTGTCGGCCAAAACGCAAAGCACTCAGGCAGCACACCAGAAATGGAGCTCCAGTCTGCTGTGCTGACGTGAGGGATCAGAGCGCCTCTGCCTGCCCTGTAGGCTCAGTGTGACCGTGACTGACACAGTCTTCTTTCAGGCACCGTAGAGTGTGTGGGCCAGACCCAATAAAAACAGTATTTGCATTCCCCCGGTGCTGAATTAGTACCTCTAGCGAATGTCTGAGACGCGGCAGCCAGCCCAGAAGGGCGCGCGGGCCGGGGGCCTTCTCCGGGCTCCGAGTGGGTGACGCTGTCTCTGTCTGCCCAGGAGGAGCTGCTCGGCGAGGAGCAGGAGGGGGCGCCCCTGCCGGCGGTGGACGCGGAACCCCAGAGGGTCACGCTCATGGGCACCGCCTGGGTCTTCTTCAAAGCCTTCTTCTCCTCCCTGATTCCTGAGGGACCCCAGGCCATCGGCAACTAGGAGACCCCCGCTGTGCTGATGCCCCAGTTCTGAGGGCGTGGATCGACGCTGGACAGGAAATGAGCACAGGAAGTTTCCAGTGTTCGAAGAGTTTTCCCTTCTGTTTAGGAGCTCTCTTTTTTTTTTTGCCTTGAATGTTCTTGCTCACGAGAAGCCACGGATACCAGCTGTTCTGTACAAAACTTCAGATGTATATTCTGTAAATATGTGTGGGGAATGGAGAGGAGTTCTCCTGTATAGACTGAGCACTTTATGTACTTAGCAGATCTGTTTTGTGATGCTTTATTCTTAAAGCCTTTGTACAAGAGCTTTTTTTTTATTGCACAATATGTTCTTAGAGCTTCCTGGCAGAAAATCCTGTGCAATCTGAACATTGTTCATATTTCTACAAGATGTTGTTATTCAGTCGGTTAAATTATGATTACCCTGTGGGAAGGAAGAGTGTTGTGAATGGAAACGGCCTCCATGTCTCTGGCAAAATGTTTTCCCATGTTCTTCAGGGCTGCTCGTACGGTTACTGGAAAAGACTGATGGCGCTGATCTCGCCTGTGCCTCTTCTTGGACCGTGTCAGCCTGCAACATTTGCAGGAAGGAATGAGGTCTTTTGACGAATGAATCTGTACATGTTGTAGAAAAGGCATGTTAAATCTATAAATCTGTTTTTTTTTATCTGTGTATATATCAAAATGTGATATATACTTGAAAGTACAAATCTTAATTCCTTTTGGGATAGTTTCTTTAAAAACGCATACACTGAGTGTAATTCAGAGGCGTTGCCAGCATAATGTAATACCACTGATTAAACTGCTTGTTCTGTTAGACCAGTTTGGTGGCTGATGCAATAATGATACTTTATACATTTGTGAAATATATTCAATAAAGGGCATTTCTTCCTATCTGTGTCCGTGTCTTGTTTGTCAAGTCTGGTGCTGGACAGTCGTTGTTTGTGGATGGCTTAAATTTCCAGAAAGCCAAAGCAATTTGATCTTTTTCTAAGAAAGAAGGAAGAAAAACAGCTAATCTGATAAAAGATTGAGTGTTCACACTTAATATGAGCCCGTGTTTCCTGTGAACTGGATGATCTGGCCTGAACGGGCTTTGTCTGGGATGTTGGGGGAGATTTTAAAAGTGGTTTAATCTCTTGTCCTTCTGTGTGATGAATGTGTGATGTGAGGATCAAAGAAACCGTTTGCAAATCGCCTTCTGCTCATTCCCTTCCACTAGGCTGCTGCAGTCACGGGCGTTTGTGTGGGAGCACAGCGTTTACTGCCTATCTCTGTGCTTCTGGGGAAAACAGACTGGGAGAACGCCGGGCAATTTGTCGTTTTGTAGCCTCATTTTCCTTTAGCAAGTCACTATGCCTTTGAATCTGTTAATAATGCTGATATCTGTATCTGTGTTTTTTTTCCTTCATTTTTGTGAGACCTGAGCACTTGGCTCTTAAAACAATGATGCTGAGTGTCCCAGTGTACCTCTTGAACAAAGCAATAGCGAACGAGAGTTGGAACAGGAGTTGATTTTTGTTGTGCTCATGGAGCAGAATGCCATCTCAGAGGGGGGAGGATTCTTTATAAAAAGTCATTCTGAAAGATTGGGAGCTGTTGCATGTTGATCAGTCTAACATTAGATCCCTGGAAGTTGTTTTTAGATGCGGGAGGTTTTAAAGGAGGTTAATAAGTACTGTCTTCCTCTGGATTTTTGCTGCAATTGAATGTGATAAATCCTGCTGCTACAACAGTCCCCCTGTGTCATGGACCGAGAAATCCAGGGTAGTGGTGCAGTTTTGTTTGAAAGTGAACATTGAGAGACCTGGAGGTCTCTTGTAGCGGCTTCCTCTGTTTTCCCTCCCTGGAAACTCAGGCCCCTCCTTGTGTGCAGCAGTTCAATCACCCCTAACAAGCGGAGAGGGGTTACTCTGGGTTATTTGCCTTCTGACCCCCTGTCTTCATTCCTGATTTCTTGGAAATAAGTCCCAGCTCTCCAGCGAACAGCAATTACAGGACCCGATGTTTCTACTCCCTCATCAAACAGGCGAGCCTCTTCAGGCCTGTTGACCCCCTGACCGCGATCTTCCTTCCTCTTCCCCGCTGTCCGCTGCAG